GGTTTTCCTAGTTGCACCTGGGGATAACCATTTTTCTGGCATGGGGTAGTACCCGCGGAGGTAATGTATAGTTACTCTGCCATGTTCGTTGCCCGTGAGAAGATCCTGGCTTAATGCCCATTTTATGGAAATGGGAGACTCCTCCCTAGCTTGTCCCTGGGGGCCTTACGACTGAGAGCAAGTGAAACTTGGGGGCATCCAAATCCCAAGCCTCCAGGCTTGGGCCGGCATATAGGATGCCCAACCCTGGTATAACTGCAACTTAACAATGCTGAGGTTTTGCCAGCCCTGCTATGCATACAGCCAGGCACACACAGGGTGGCCATGTAACTAATGCTGGTAGAACAATATGTATGCCAGCAGAGGGTGGGGGTGGGGATTAAAAGTATATATGCATGCAGTCTTAGTTTGCCACACTGACTTATTGGTTGTCCAAGAGTGTAATCCTGTCTTAGATGGAGCTTTTTTCCTGTGAATTTTATACTGACAAATATAATAATTGCCTTGTTTCTGAACTGATTTGCTAGAAAAATCTTCTTAAGCTACCAGTCTTTTCCTTTTTAGGATCATATATATCAAAGACAAAATATCTTCAGCTATACTGCACAAACACTTTGTGTAAGGCATATTTTAACAGGGAGCCAAGGGCTCCCTCTTATTTTAAGGGTGGCGAACAGTTGTAGGGAGCCCCGGTTGCAGAGAGTTGTTTACCAGGACCCAGGAAAGGCTGGTCCATAAGGGACTGATAGGCTGCAGGCACCCAATGCAGAATAAATGGCTCAGCATTAAGGTAACTGGGCAGAGTGGCTCAGGCAGCAGGAGGGGAGAAGAGGGAACCAGAGCAAAGCAGGAACTATGTGGCTACCAGGGGCTTTTACTGTCATACCTAATCCTGCTACCTGTATGATCATATTATTGTGGCCCCTTTTTGTATGCATGAAATTTGACAACAAGACCTTAAGAGCAAGGGTCAAATTCTGTGTCACTTATTTGTATGGCAGGTTTTTTTTCTGGCTGTTGTAAAAATCATTTCTTGGTCACAGCTGACACAGAGTGATAGCCTAGAATATAACTGCAGTATTTCAGCTGTCTCAAGACTGAGTGGCAAATGGCAGCTACTGTGTCAGGAGGGAGAAAAATTTTTTTGGTGGGAGGGGGGAAAGCTCTGTGTGTGTGTGTGTGTGCACACATGAGCATACATGTCCCCCTCAGCAGGTAAGTCTGTGGGGGAAGAAGTAGGAGGTGGGGAAGGAGTGAGGCTGGGGCTAGGGCAGGTGCTGCCCGGCCAGTGCAGGGCAGGATGGAACCGTGGTGGGATGGATGTGAGAGGGGGGGTGGCAGCTCCCACCACTGCATATGCCCAGGAGGGCCTGGGGCGGGAGGTGTTCCCAGATCTGCACAGGGTGTGGGTAGCATGGGCTGTGGCTGCACCAGGCTCTTCCCAGCGGGGTTGCCTGGGCTAGGCTGTGCTTGGGGCAGGTGGCGGCAGCGCTGAGAGCGGGGGTTGGGGGGACTACTGCGAATTTTGGGGTGGCTGCAGTCCCCCCACCCCATAGCCTCCTCCCAGTGCCACTGCCGCCT